AAAGAACTGCCGTCACAAAAACTGCGAATCAGCTGTCAGAGATTACACATCAACATCGGTAGACATAAGTGCCCCCTATTGGGGTTCAGACCTCACAAACAACCAGTTCGCCTATCGAGAGTACAGAAACATCCTTTAAACTGATACTTGGGCGTCAATACACCTCGTATTCTGAAACCTTAACACTGCTAGAGCTGTTGGAGGTTAATTAGTAAGTAGTTGGCTCTGCCATGTTGAATTTCATGCAGTGGAAGAGGTCATTCCTGATTTTGCGACGTATGTATATTCCAACGTCGCCTTCTGGTCTGTCAGGAACGGTCCTCTTCTCGGCAAACTCTCTGTAGTTCTAAAGATGTGAACAAAAAGACATGGTACTGCATCATGACTCGTTGTTTTGAATTTTGTGTTTGCCAGACAGGTAATAGTTAATTCAGGTTAGGATTTGAATCAAGAGGTTCAGATTCAGGTCCATACCTAATAGATCCGAAGCCATGTATTAGAAATAGATTCGCTTACTTTTTTCTATTGATAAGGCAACTGGCATATGATTGCTATTGTGGGGGATTGTTAGCTGTTTGTAGGGTTTGGCTAAAGCCGCAGAGACCTTCAATGCGCCTAAAATAAGTCGAGATACAATACATCTGAACAAGTCTAGTAAATGACACAAACACATACATACTTACATATATGTATGATATGTATATATACTTTTTGAGATGTTGATAGCTGAAACCTTATTGAACTTAATCAAATTACTACTAAAAATAAATAAAAGGTGATCAGTATGATCCTCAGACTTTATCGTCATTAAGATTTAACACCACAAATGTTCTGGGGGTAATTATGGAATACCTGTTGGTGTCAATCTTTGAAAGGTCCCCATCCAGCTGATGCCACGGCATCTACCTATCCAGAATGTAGCGTTTCATGATGTGACTGGCTGTACTCCGCTGCTCCGCGTCCATCTGATGCCTCATGCCAATCTGCAACTGGTTTGACATACTCAGCTTCAGCCTGGTAGCCCTTCCTCCGGAAAAACTTCTCCACCGCATGGGAGAGAAGGCGTTCGGCAAAAGTGTGACAAAGAAAGTCTGCCACTGCTCTGGATGGTGACATGGCGTAATGTGAATCCACACACAGCAACTTTCACAATACACGACACTGGGCCCACAATCCTCACACTTCAATGGGAAAGGTTCGTTGCAGTGGCAAAAGGAACTGACATAAGACGTTGGTGCTGCAAGTTGGGTGGCAGTGTCCAACATCGGGTCTCTCAGTTCCTCCCAACACGGCAACAGGCCAGACTTACCCGGCCTATACTTGATCTCGAAATAAAAATTAGGGAGTCGAGCGGCCCATCTCTGTTCTACTGTGCAGTTCCTAAGTGTGCCAGCGGATTATTATCAGTGTATACTGTACATTTCGCTCCATACAGATAGTCTTTGAACTTCTCTGTCACAGCGCATTTAAGCCCTAATTGATGGCCCATGATGTATGCTAACTCATAGCCTTCAACAAGAATAAAAACCAAAGTCTTCCGAAGTAAACTTCAGCCAGAGAAGAACTGACCACAGAGGGTTTACATTTCGCTTTTCTCCTTTCCTCTAACTCCTCGCACCGATACTTACGCAAACGGTGTGTTCTGGTGTTTCGTTTTGTTGGTGCGAGATATTGAACATGAAATGACTCTACCCTTTTATAGTTCTGGGCGATTGCAAGGGGTTGAGTTGATGACTAACGAAATGCAACAATAAAAAAGGGTGACATCAACACCAAAAAGGTCCACATGTTAAAGAAGAGAAGCTCCCCGCTCTGGATGGTTCCCTCGGCGTTCCCTCCGTTGGACTGCTCCTCAGACTGCAACTGCTGGTTTTTCTTTGGGCAAGTGTTGTTGATCTGTAAAGGATAAAAAAAGAATTCGTTAGAAAGGAACACTTGTACAACTGCTTTGAAAATTATGTATTAAGGAGTGGCCATTAGACACTGACTAACTACATTACTTGTTTATGTGTTAACAGGAACTCAAATAAGAGAGAACAACACTACATATTTAAGGTCAAAAACTGTACAAGTATAAGATAATGTCTCAATTACCGGAGTCCGGCACTCTGGGCAAGTGGGGGTTATCTGTAAAGGTTAAAAAAAGAATTCATTAGAAAGGAGCACTTGTACACCTGCTTTGGAGATTGTTTTAACGAGTGACCATTAGATTATGACTACAGTTATTGTATATCCTGTTGTGACTTATTGTAAAGAGCATAAGCTTTTGATATTTACTTAACATGCATATTCAGACGTTAATGAATCGCCATAGACAACGAATGATACCTTCTGCCATTTTGTGATACAAACAGCGTGGTACACGTGCTTGCAATCCAGAATTCTCGTTTGTTGATTTCCCGTTTTCTCGAGACAAACTGCGCACCTGTGTAGAAATTATGTATACAGTCTAAATTGCGAAGTACACCTACACTGGGTACATATAGCCTGTCGTCTTTCATAATACTTCTAACCAAAATCACCTCTTTGCAATTCGATTTAGACAGTCTCAAATATACAATCACACAAATTATGTAGTGGGTGTTATCTTATATGTAGTTAAATGCATTACTTACACAGCATCTTCCTTGGAGGTGAATGTCTCCTGCAGTTCTAACCGAATAGCAATTTCCACCATAGCCTAAGGAAGATTAAAGGGTGTAATCACTCTTGTCATCTTTATTCAACCAGCTTGAAAAATGTAATCTCCAAGCAGATGTTCCGGTGGCTGCAAAACAGTATCAAATTGGCCAGACCTGGTCGGTGATAAGGGCTCGCTGGGGCGATACAACCAAAACAAGTTTTGGTTCATCCAGACACAGTGGGATACACTGGTAGCACAGGGATTTCCCCTGCCCCGTGGCAAGACAAAAACATCTTGACCCTTCAAACATGCCAAAATGGCCTCGAGTTGCGTGTCCCTGACTTCAAAGTCCCAGATCATGCGCCGAACTCTGTCCTCCATGATCGGCAGGAATTTAAACTGTCCTGGTAACGGTTATCGCTGGTGACCCGTGACGATACTTCCGGTCACACGGTGCCGCGACATAAGTTACCTTATGTATAAAAAAATTATTACTATGTTTTCATTTATGAGCAAGTGGTATTTATGTTATGACCCCCTGACACTCCTCCACGCTCGACCTCTATGAAAAGCGAAGCAGATCGAGTTGAAATAAAGGCTCAATCAATCAATCAATCAATCAATCCTTCCATCTTCTTAGTGAGCTCAGGTGTCTGCCGTTTGCTGGTCCATTCTCCTCACCCTCATGTTGACCCTCTAAGTCCACAGCAATATCTTCTCCTTCATCCCACGGATCGTTTGCAATGTTGCTTAGGAGGACAGTGTGATCCACTCGGTGCTGCAAGGAAATGTCAAAATTGACTCGGTTCTCGTCGAAAGGAAGGTGTTTGGTAATGCTCATTTCAATAGGAATGTTGAACTCCTTAGCGAATTCTTCATTAATGCTTCGATGGCCCGTCCAGACTGTTCATCAAAGCCCGCCGCCCAGAGCTGTGTGGCACAGGTGACTTTGCCACTGTGATTCGTGATATGTCTTCTGTGGCGGTTAAGATCTCGTGCCACATTTTGGCAATGAAGGCACTGACTTCATAGTCAGGTGTACTGGAGTCTTACACAGCTCTACGGCTAGGGTGATTCTTTACAGCCCACCTCCTATTGTGAGAAGAAATGGAAGGAGCCTTAAAAATACAGAACGTTGCCTGTCTGTACAGTGGATTCTAGGCTACACTTACTGGAGTCAGTTCCGACTCCGACTTCAAGTCAGGAAAACAGTTTAAGTGTGCAACAACAAAAAAAAGCCTTAAAAAATACAGAACGTTGCCTGTCTGTAAAGTGGACTCTAGGCTACACTTACTGGAGTCAGATCCGACTTCAAGTCAGGGAAAAGTTTGTCACCTCAGACTGGTGGAGGATAACAAAAAGAGTTCGTTCAACGTAGACAATGTTGCACAACCTGTTATGTAAATCGTAAACTATATTTCAGTACCTCTCCTGTCGGTTACTTTGGGGGAGGCCACAGAAATGGTAATGTTCATGGTTTCTGTCGCTACAGGGTGCCCCATCCAGCGTTTATTTCAGGCCTGTGTGATTTCACAGTCAAACATTAGCTTTAAAGAAATTTCGAAAAAATGGTAGGACAGTGTTGCTTTTTTTTCGAAATCATTGTAATCATCCTACACATCTAAACTAATATTTCGAATGTTTTGCAATCTAAGGACATTCTTTATTAAATAAAAAGAAAGTTCGAAATTTTTGATTAAAAAAATATCTATTATGAATAGTTAGAAAAATTTGAAATTGATTCTAAATAATGGCAACAAACACCCGTGCGGTGACTTGGACTAGATTCTAGTCCACAGAAAAGAATGTCCTGATGGTAGACACACCACAGGATGGCAGGGGGACTCTGATGTCCTTCCCCAGGCGGCCGTACGTCCACCGGACAAATTGCCTGTAGGCAGTGTATCTCTTGCACCTGAAAGGTGATAGACAGAAATTA